ATGTTGCAGGCATCAAATTCCAAATGAGCTAATATTTGCAAAAAAATAACAAAGTTTACCAGTTCGAACGTTAGGTATGTGGTCTTTGCAGAGTGTTCAATTGAATATAGGTTGAAAATGATTTGCAAGTCATTGTATTCTGTTTTTATTTACAATTTACACAACGTGCCAACTTTTCTGGTTTTGGGGTTTGTATAATGGGGTCTCGAGTATAAGGAGAAACTTTGTWCTTTAACTCCTTTCTTTGTTCAGCCAGTTCTTATAATCTGGTTTGAATGAAAACTGTTTTACACAAAGGTGTAAACAAAATGTTTTTAGGTCTGCTCAGGACTTAGTTTGAAGTGTGGWTATGAATCAAAATGAATTAATAACTAATTTATAATCGTGTAGCAAGCCTCTGAATCAAAGTGAACCATGAAGTACCTAAAGATTTCTACCCCTATTCTGCATGCTGCAGGACAGGACCCACAGAAGACCATGATGACAGTACCTCCAGCAGCAGCAGAGTCTCAGCGATGAACTTGGTGGTAGGGAGCGATGAATCTCTCAGGTCGGTCACCACCGACACCAGACTCTGTTTTTCCTGCTTCTTACTGCAGACAGAGGACGAGGAAAGCATGAGTTCACCCTGAACCCTCGCCCACCAGGGTGCTCTTTATCTTACACACCTGTGCAGACATTTAAAGTAGGTTATGAAGTCCACAACTTCTGCTGGGCTGAGATCTGAGAGCTTGATTTGAGACTCCACTGGGAACACGACCAGAGGACACCCGTACTGGTCAAACACACCTGTTCAGGAAAGAAAATGTCATAAAGCTCACTTGCATACCTAAAATTGTACCTGACTGTCTGTCAAAACAACAGCTAGCAGAGCTCTAGAGTGTGACCAGTTTGGTCGCAAATGCAACCAAATTTCTTAAAAAAGAAATAAAATTTAAAAAAATCCAGCCGCACTGGTGTGACTGGATCACGAAGTGCTGTGCTCACAGAGCCTGTAAGGACAGCGGGACCCTGATATAAGGATTAAACGGACACTGCCTTCAACAAATCAGATGAAGTCCAGAGCCGTTTTGTCCAATCAGAGCAGAGCAGGGCGGGACTTTCAGTGAGAGCAGTTTTCAGCAGAGGCAGGTTGAAGAGCGGCTGCAGAGGTCAGTCCTGATCTCCTCCTGCACTTTGCTCCTGAACTACCAGAGACTTTGGTCTGTAAAACATAACTTTATATTAAATATATGTTCAGAGCGTTGTTATCAATCAGATCTGTCCAACTCTGTGAGAGTGACTAAACTCTCCTCCTGAAAGAGGCGAACGCGTCTCAGCGTTGCACAGGCTGAGTCTTTGTGAGATTCACTGAGTTTTTCTAATTAAACCACATTAACTAACAGAACATTTGTTTGCCCCATATTAAAACAAAGATG